CCACAAATTGGTACCTGTGGGTTGCTAGTAGTGTTGATTACTCCTTGTAGTTGATGCTAATTGGTTTACTTGGTGGAAGATCATTTGTTCATATCCTTTATGCATATTAATACTCCTCTGATTATGAACATGAATATGCTTTGTGAGTAGTTCCGTTTGTTCCTGAGGACATGGGTGAAGTCTTGCTATTAGTAGTCATGTGCATTTGGTATTCGTTCGATATTTTGATGAGATGTATGTTGTCTCTCCTCTAGTGGTGTTATGTGAATGTCGACTACATAACACTTCACCATTATTTGGGCCAAGAGGAAGGCATTGGGAAGTAATAAGTAGATGATGGGTTGCTAGAGTGACAGAAGCTTAAACCCTAGTTTATGCGTTGCTTCGTAAGGGGCTCATTTGGATCCACTAGTTTCATGCTATGGTTAGGTTTAACTTAATACTTATTTTGTAGTTGCGGATGCTTGCAATAGGGATTAATCATAAGTGGGATGCTTGTCCAAGAAAGGGCAGTACCAAAGCAACGGTCCACCCACATATCAAATTATCAAAGTAACGAACGCGAATCATATGAGCGTGATGAAACTAGCTTGACGATAATTCCCATGTGTCCTCGGGAGCGCTTTTCTCATTATAAGAAATTGTCCAGACTTGTCCTTTGCTACAAAAAGGATTGGGCCACCTTGCCGCACCTTATTTACTTTCATTGCTTGTTACCCGTTACAAATTATCTTATCATAAAACTATCTGTTACCCACAATTTCAGTGCTTGCAGAGAATACCTTACTGAAAACCGCTTGTCATTTCCTTCTGCTCCTCATTGGGTTCGACACTCTTACTTATCGAAAGGACTATGATATATCCCCTATACTTGTGGGTCATCAATGATCGAGGTGGAATATGGTGGAGGGGGGCACCGCACATGGCTGGAATAGATCAATAGATCAACTTGTGTGTCTAGAGGTGCCCCCTGCCCCCGTATATAAAGGAGCAAGGGGGGAGGCGGCCGTCTAGGAGGAGGGCGCGCCAAGGGGGGAGTCCTACTCCCACTGGTAGTAGGACTCCTCCTGTCCTTGTAGGAGTAGGAGAAGGGGGAAGGAGGAGAGAGGGGGAAGGGGGCGCGCGGCCCTGCCTTGGCTGCCCCTCCTCTTCTCCACTAAGTCCCATGTGACCCATTATACTCCCCGGGGGGTTCCGGTAACCTCCCGGTACTCCGGTATATGCTCGAACTCACCCGGAACACTTCCGAAGTCCAAACATAGTCATCCAATATATCGATCTTTATGTCTCGACCATTTCGAGACTCCTCGTCATGTTCATGATCATAGCCAGGACTCCAAACTATCTTCGGTACATCAAAACACATAAACTCATAATATCGATTGTCACCGAACTTTAAGCGTGCGGACCCTACGGGTTCGAGAACTATGTAGACATGACCGAGACACGTTTCCGGTCAATAACCAATAGCGGAACCTAGATGCTCATATTGGTTCCCACATATTCTATGAAGATCTTTATCGATCAAACCGCATAAAAACATACATTGTTCCCTTTGTCATCGGTATGTTACTTGCCCGAAATTCGATCGTCGGTATCTCAATACCTAGTTCAATCTCGTTACCGGCAAATCTCTTTACTCGTTATGTAATGCATCATCCTACAACTAACTCATTAGTCACATTGCTTGCAAGGCTTCTAGTGATGTGCATTACCGAGAGGGCCCAGAGATACCTCTCCAACAATCAGAGTGACAAATCCTAATCTCGAAATACGCCAACTCAACGAGTACCTTCGGAGAAACCCGTAGAGCACCTTTATAATCACCCAGTTACGTTGTGACGTTTGGTAGCACACAAAGTGTTCCTCCGGTAAACGGGAGTTGCATAATCTCATAGTCATAGGAACATGTATAAGTCATGAAGAAAGCAATAGCAACATACTAAACGATCAAGTCTTAAGCTAACGGAGTGGGTCAACTCAATCACATCATTCTCCTAATGATGTGATCCGGTTAATCAAATAACAACTCGTGTCTATGGTTAGGAAACTTAACCATCTTTGATTAACGAGCTAGTCATGTAGAGGCATACTAGTGACATTTTGTTTGTCTATGTATTCACACATGTATTATGTTTCCGGTTAATACAATTCTAGCATGAATAATAAACATTTATCATGATATGAGGAAATAAATAATAACTTTATTATTGCCTCTAGGGCATATTTCCTTCAATTGGATCATATAACAATCCCTCAACATGCAACAAAGAGTCACTCCAAAGTCACTAATAGCGGAGAACAAACGAAGAGATTATTTGTAGGGTGCGAAACCACCTCAAAGTTATTCTTTCCGATCAATTCATTGGGCTATTCCTATAAGTGTCACAAACAACCCTAGAGTTCATAGTAAAATAACACCTTAAGACACAGATCAACCAAAACCCTAATGTCACCTAGATACTCCAATGTTACCACAAGTATCCGCGGGTATGATTATATGATATGCATCACACAATCTCAGATTCATCTATTCAAACCAACACAAAGTACTTCAAAGAGTGCTCCAAAGTTTCTACCGGAGAGTCAAGATGAAAACATGTGCCAACCCCTATGCATAAGTTCACAAGGTCACTGAACCCGCAAGTTGATCACCAAAACATACATCAAGTAGATCAGGTGAATATCCCATTGTCACCACAGATAAGGACATGCAATACATACATCAAGTGTTCTTAAATCCTTAAAGACTCAATCCGATAAGATAACTTTAAAGGAAAAACTCAATCCATTACAAGAGAGTAGAGGGGGAGAAACATCATAAGATCCAACTATAATAGCAAAGCTCGCGGTACATCAAGTTCGTGCCATATCAAGAACACGAGAGAGAGAGAGATCAAACACATAGCTACTGGTACATACCCTCAGCCCCAAGGGTGAACTACTCCCTCCTCGTCATGGAGAGCGTCGGGATGATGAAGATGGACACCGGTGATGGATCCCCCCTTCGGCAGGGTGCCGGAACAGGGTCCCGATTGGTTTTTGATGGCTACAGAGGCTTGCGGCGGCGGAACTCCCGATCTTCTTTCTGTTCTGGAAGTTTGGGGATATATAAGAGGTGTTGGCGTTGGGAACAAGTCAGGAAGGGTCCACGAGGAAGCCACGAGGTAGGGGGCACGCCCAGGGGGGGTAGGGCGCGCCTTCCACCCTCGTGGTGGCCTCGGGACTATTCTGGTCCATCTTCGATGCTCCGTGGGCTTCTTCTGGTCCAAAAACAATCTCCGTGAATTTTCTGGTCAATTCGACTCCGTTTGGTATTCTTTTTCTGCAATACTCAAAAACAAGGAAAAAACACAAACTGGCACTGGGCTCTAGATTAATAGGTTAGTCCCAAAAATCATATAAAATAGCATATAAAACATCCAAAATGGATAACATAATAGCATGGAATAATCAAAAATTGTAGATAAGTTGGAGATGTATCACACCCCAATAAGGAGAGGAGAGATGCCGACACACATCAGCGGTGCCTCCAAGGAGGGGAGCGACACCCACGGGCGCCGTCAACGCCAGACTGTCCGAAGAAAGGCAGGATTTTCATCCGAAATGTCGCACAACTCCCACTCATCCCGCAGGAGTACAGCCTGACTGACCAGATGGGTCACTCCGCCGCTGCAGCAGCACCTCGTTGTTGTACCCAAACTGTCGCGGAGAAACCAGCACGACTAAGGAAACACGGTCCAACACCACTCCAGCACGGGCCAAGAACACGCAGCTCCTTCCATCCTCCAACACATCAGCACCACACCATGAGCAGCTCCTTCCATACTCCAACACCAGCACCAGCACGACCAGGTCGCCTGCACCACGAGCAGCTAGTCCACCACTCCAGGCGGACAACCTCGTCGCGACCACAGCCAAGTGGCCCAGATCAGATCCGGTCGACACCGCCATCACCCACACCTGCGATGCAGCCTCCGACAGCCATCCGACGACGCCTGCGACCCCAGGGCACGCACGCACAGCAGAAGCCACCCGGCCGCCGCTCACGGAGCATCTCAAGGCCGAGCCGCGCCTCCCTCTGCAACCACGGCCCACCTGCGGCGCCACCGACGCCGTCGCCTGCCGGAAAAACCACCACGCACCGGCCACTTCTCTGCGAGTTCCCGACCCATCTCCGCCGCACCACGCGCTCCCCGCCGTGCACCGCCACACCGGAACTCTCCCCGCGCTGCCCCTTGACACCGCTCCCCGTGTGAAAGAGGCCCGTCGGGGCGCGCCGACTAGGCCCTCCACCTTTGACGGCCGGGCGCCGCCACCACCGCCGCCGGCGGCGGCGACGGCCAGGGAGCACAGGGAAGGGGGTGGCGCGCGGGGCTAGGGTTTTCCCCTCCGGAATCGCCCACACGAGCGGCCCGGGAGGGAGAGGGAAAAAGTCTTCTGTGAATGTTTTTGCATAGTAGGGCTTGGGCATACCAAAATACTTGTAGTTGGGGTAAACTAGTACCAGTTTCCCCAACAACAAGTATTTTGGTACAGAAGTAGTAATTGAGGTAGCTAGGGTGCTATGTACCACCCAACTTCGGGGATGAAGCCATTGACAATGCGGAACTACTTGACGGACGATTTTGTGTTGAACGATGCATGCACGATAGCTGATCCAAGCGCTTACGGCTGCTCAGACTTGCCAGTGGATGGTCTGTGATGTAGTGTCGTCCACATTTCGGCTGCAAGCGTCGTGTGTATAGCACTGCTCTTGACAATGAGACAAGTTACCCATCTTCTGAAAAACATGAATGCGGATATCAAGCACATAGCGATGCCATGCATCTTATGACTCTGCACAGGGACAGATATATAAAGTTACAACATCACATTTGGGGACATATATAAAAGAAGAAGCAGAGAAGAAAAGGGACAACAAATTATGAACTTTCAGCTATAACCATATATCATGGATAATCCACGCATGCCGCACGATCGACACGGCCCTTTCTCCATCATTTATCAAACACGGAGATCCCAAGTTCGCCGTCGACGCTGGCGCCGGCCGAGCCAAGCAACCCCGTCCACCTTTCCATCTCATCCCTCCCATCGCTGTTGAGGAACAGCAATGCGGCCATATCGTCCTCGTCACGGTCCAGCTGCGCCTGCGCCTGCGAGCTCGCGCCGGCTGCCGCAGCCGCCGTGGTCGCCGTCGTTGCTTCCAGAGCGGCGCACTCGCCGCTGGGGCTGAGCTGCGACGCTACGAATTTGTCCAGCGCCCTCCAGTCCGTGGTGGCCGCATTGTCGGCCTGCGCGTGCTTGCGAGGTCGACGCCTACTGCCACCGGAGGCGGCATCTTCCTCCTCCTCGGGTGCCCTGGCCTTCTTACGCGGGAGAGGAGCGGAGGGGCTCTCGAGCTGCGGCAGCTCGACGAGGTGGCTGGAGGTGTATCGCAGCAGGGCGGCGGCCCCGTCCAGCTGCTCCGCCTCCTCCTTGAAGCTCGCGCCCCTGCCCATCTGCGCCGCTGCCGCGTACGTCGACGCCATGTTCGGGTCCGGGAACGGCGCGCCAGACATGGCATTGACCTCGTTGTAGGAGTAGTTTGAGCCCCATCTCTCCATCATGCCCCGGTTCGGGTACGCCGTCCTCTTCTTGAACGCCCTGCACACCACCCATCCTTCTTCCTGTACACACACATATGGACACTACGAAGTTAGCTAGATGTGAAAGAGATCTGCAAGCTTCTCAAAATATTTGCAAGTGAAAGGAATCTACTAAAGTTAGCTACCTCTCCACTGTGTAGTGGAGTCCTGAAACTATGGTTTTCTCTGCTAGTGATTGTGGCATTCTACAATACATTTCATGAGTAGTGCTAGTCCTAGGCTCCTAGCTAGTTGCAGACAGCATGTAAACAATGGCACGGGCGTGCTAGAATGTTCGCAGTGCGAAACCCTAGACCAGTACATGCATGCAGCATGCGCATGCATTTCTCAAGGAGAACTCCAAAAAGGTGTTTGCAAGTGGCATGGTCAGGATGGCAACACCGGATACATGCTGGCTGCATCCCTAGCTTTATCAGGAAGAGTAGAAGACTTTGGAAGACTCGCAAAAAGGGAGCTTATCTTGCTGCCGGTGCTTTGCTACTAGTGATGTGTTTGTCTCTATGGACCATTAGTTTCTGTGCTTGAGTTAGAGTACATGCATGCGCCCGGGCAAACTGGTGAGTGCTACTTTAGCAATAAAAATCCTTGTCTATCAGATTATATTAAGTCATTAAGATTTAAGACCTGTTTTCTTTTGTATGTGCTTATTCTTTTTCCCCATGAGTACGAAGCACCAAATATATTCGTGATAATATTTTGAGGATGCATTTAAATCGATCGTCGTATAATTCATATTAATAAAAAACGATTCTTAAAAAGTCAAGTAAAATGCATGTGTGAAAAATTGGGTTTTATTTTACATAAAAGATATCACACAAATAACAATTTTGGTGAGTATAATAATATTTGTCCACAACCATATATATGATGCATGTAAAGTTATAAAATCGATTACTGATTTCAGACGTCTAGATCAAATGCATCCCAACCCAAGTTCTTTTTCTTATTTGTTTTTGTATTCATATATTTTCTTTAGGTGAAAGAAAGAAAATCAGTTAATTGGTAGTAGAATCTAAACTACAGTTCTTAATCCGTTCAAAATTACTAACTAGTCAAACTTTGACCTAAGTCAAACTTTTTAAAGTTTGGTCAAGTTTATAATAAAAGATTGCTAATTAATATGTACATCATTCAACATATATAATATAAATGTTGATATATTTAGACTTGGTCAAACTTAGAGAAGATTCACCTAAGAGACATAAAAAATCAAATAATTTGGAATGAAGGGAGTAGTATCTATTTGAGTAACATTCATATATTGGTTGGTTGCTGCAAGTCTCTGGGTTGCTGTGGACCTACCAACTTCTTACTGTGGTAAGCTAGTTGAAAATACCATTTGGTTGGGAATGTGAAAGCTAATTTACACTCTACATTTCTTTGCTCAAAACTAACATTGGAAATAGTAACAGGAATAGAGAGCGTGTAGCTTGCCTGCGGCGGCGCGTTCTCGTCAGTCTCGAGGCGGTACTCGTGCATGATCCAGTCGGTCTTCTGTCCGTTGGGCGCCCTGCCCTTGTAGAAGACGAGGGTCTTCCTCATGCCGATGAGCCTGCTCCTCTCATGCACCGCCTTGTCCCTCCCCGTCGCCTTCCAGAACCCTGCCATGGTCGCCCTGTTCGTCCTCGTCCCCGTCGGGTACTTGCGGTCCTTGAAGCTGAAGAAGTACCACTCGTTCTGCTCCTCGTACCCGATGCCACAGTTCTCTTCAATACATTCAGATAGAGTTGAGCAAAAAATTAGGACTAAGAACTGTGAACCAATGTGCATGCATGACATATGTCACGTCATATATAAAAGAGTTGTAGAGATAAGGTACCTGTGAGATCCCATGGCTCGATGCGGTAGAGATCGATGTCGCGGATGACGTCGAGGTCGATCTTCTGGGAGGCCACCTTCTTGCGGAGGTAGTAGCCGACGAGCTCCTCGTCGGTGGGGTGGAACCTGAACCCTGGAGGGACGCATGATTCCATGGAGTCCATATGATCAACACCACCACCACTACCTGTGCGCATAGGTTGGATGTGCATAAAATTCAGCAACTCCTGGATAGGCCTACGAATGATATAGCTCGCGAGTACTGGCACTAGTAGTATAAACAAAGAAGCATGAAAGTGCTCGCGTGAATCATTCGATGCTATGCAAGCCTGCATTTCTTTATACTGCAAAGGTGACTGCAGATAGGGGGAGGTTCAGTTGCAGCAGAAGGGAACAGTGGTGTTGACAGTTGGTTGGGTGTGGATCGGTACTGGATGAGTAGCATACAGACCGAAGTATAGTATAGTATTCCTATGTGAGAGTGAGTATATGGGTTTCAGTGCTTTGGTAAAATTTAATCGAGCCATGTTGGGGTTCCGCACTCCAGTTTATCGTATGATGATATACTAGTACTCGTAGGGCAAAGCCTGAGCATGCAAGGGGCAGCATGCAGGGAGGGTTCAGACAAACGTGGGAAAGTTACAGGCCTGTGAATGATACTGTCGACTGTTGGAGTGTGGAATGAGAGGGCATGTGGGCTATAGTCAGCAGCGAATTATAGCAGCAGCAGGATATGGTCGATCTGGTCTAGTGTAACTTAACCGGGCAGGAGTTGGGGCGAGTGAAAAAAACTGAAATGTGTATATATGAAAAAACTATATCACATCAACATAGTATATTGTCTAAGACAAAATAGCTAATAGGCTAGTTAGGAGCAAGTGTTAATGATTCCCTACTCATCCTGATCGATCATAATGCCCTCATGAAATGCAATGCACACAACGACTCAAGCGCAAGCAGAGCCAGAGGCCTGTAAAGAAATGCTACATATATTGAGATGCTTTCGGCTTTCACGGGTTTGCAATTTTGCACAGTGGAAATATAACGCGGTTATGTATGCCATTTCATGATTTGAAGGCAGCTTCTGAGCGGATTGAATCAAGACAGGCTAGTGCAAACAGTGAGGAACGACGGAGACATATAGTCACTCCCCCAGCATTGACGCGCATACAAAACAGGCTAGCTTCCTCTTTCCAAACCATCTAGCAGTCGTACGAGTAGTTAGTTTGCTCTGATCAAGAACACTTGCTATATAATAACCAGATAGTGCAACAAAGCACAACTAACTAGCTAAGATGGTGCATACACATGCATGGGTAGTTCTCAACCAGACCCTAGCACACAACAGGCCGGAGCGCACGCGCATTGGGCAAATGTGCAGTACTAAATCTTGGCACGCCGAGGTGTGGGACTGGAAATTTATCAGAAAAAGCAGGGCCGGGAATAAAAACGTGAGGATCAGAGACGAAGAGAGGTCCAGAAGGAGGAGAGGTAATGAAGGCTCTTTCTCGGATCAGGCCTGCAAAGTGCATAGGAGAAGCGGCTAAAAAGCCACTCACTGGAGTGGAGTGGACAGTGGAGTGCTCCGGCTGATAGCCAAAGCATGCGAATGCAAAGAGAGCGGAGGAAAAGGGGGCAGCGGCGCCAGCGGCCAGGAGGCGCACACGACCACCGGTTGGCTCCCGCCCTTGCACCGTAGCACGGCCTCTGACCGCCCTGTCCCTTTGTCGAGGAATTCCACGGCACACCCAGCGCGCGGTGACCCTTCTGCTGCCCAGATGCGCTCATATTCGCTGCTGCAGCTTCTTGCAACTTGCGGCTCAACAGTTGTCTGCAGTGCCCACCGTACCGGGCTACCGGCCGGCCGGGAGACTTTGTGCTGGCTGGCTAGGTAGGGCATGCATGAACGCATGGTACCTTCGTCCCTCCCTAGTGTGGGGTGGATCAAGAAGAACGAGGTCCAGGGAGGGAGATCAATCATTCCCTGTGTTTCGCCTTTGGCCTCTTGTGGGGTGCATCACTCACTGTCGCATCTATCTCGCATATGAGCATCAGAGACAGAGAGGAAGGAGGGTCATCACTACCGGATCTCCTTCTATATTTTCTGTCCCTCTGAATTGAGAAAAAAACTAGTCGAGCCGGGGAGAGCCCCGTGGAATTTTAAGATTGAAACGACTGCGAGATAACATGATTTGCTACTACTAACTAGAGTCAGCAAGGATGTATATGCAACCACTAAGTCCTTACACCGGGCTACAAACCAATTCTCAAATCAAGATAAAACAAAGAAAAATGAGAAAACAATCTATGGAAGAAATTGGATGGAACATAATAGCATCTCCACTAGCCTCCCCAGGACACCTTTTTAGGCTCGGTTTTAGGCTCGGAAGGCACTTTTCGCCGAAATATGGCCCAGTCACGCCTCCAACGCCCCCAGGATGTCAAAATAGCGCCGGCAAACCCAGGCGAAACCCGGCGCGCTGGGGGTCTCTTGGGGGCGCCGGCGGACGTTTCGGCGAATCGTGTCTCACCACATGTCCTTTTTCTTGGCCCACTTAATCATTCTCCTCACAAACTTTTGCTTGGGGTGGGGTGTGACTGGGAAGATGCCCTCTTTATTTCGCCGGATTTCGCCGGATGACCCCCAAGACACCAACTTTTTTGGTTCGGTGATATTCTTGGGGGTGCCAACGGCTGGAGATGCTCTAAGAGTTTCAATATGAACACTTTCATTCTTTTACGGAACTCGTGGAAATCCCTATGTACCGTGCAGGACCTTAGGTAGGAGCAAAAGTTTTCCATTCTTTACCAAAATTAATATAATCTGCATTTTTGTGTGCGGGGCAATAAAAAGTTCCATAACAAATGGGGAAAGAATTGGCAACAATTTTTTTTTATCCATGAGACGCAGAGCATAATATGTTCTATAAGAAGTGTACCACACCAATAATGTCATAAAACACCGAAAATAGCCCGACGGCATAAGACATGTCTAATTGATTTTTGAAAAATTGCGGCAACCAACCAAACATGTATATACTACTCCATCTGATCCAAAATAAGTGTCGTGGGCTCGTGGCTTTGAACGAAAGTTGAACTAACCTTTGTTCAAAGCTCGGACACTTTTTTTGGATCGGAGGGAGTAACTTATTATGAGATGTTGCAAAGTAACTTTAACATTTTAACACTCACCACCTTAAAGAGAATCTAAGTTGGGTTGCGGAGCAAAGATGGGTGTGTTGCTTCCTTAAGTATGTGCAATGATTCATGTTTGAAAGTGTGCTAGATGTGTGGTTAAATGCATGTGTGTATGCTGAAAAATGATTTATCATCCTTTTCATGTGAAAAAAATGAATTCATTTAGTACATGTATATGATATGTTGTGAACTTTAAGTATGTATATTTAAATTTAAAAGGTTAGGTGTATCCTTCTATACATTTTTATTTAGCATTAACAAAAAAAGGGATGCTTGGTTGAATCAAAATGCCGACACACTCTCCATAGATGGAATGTTTGGAAATATTATGCAGTTGAAGTAATCGCATGAAGCAAACATTCTCCAATTCTAATTTGAAATGTATGCTATATAAAGACCAATTTAGTTTAACATAAGATTTTTTTAATTTAGAACACATGATTTTTTTCTTGGATCATTAGTATGACCTCAATCGCATAGACCTTCAAGAGTGACTGCCCATCCTAACAGAATAGCCTTTTCTCATTCAAGAATAAAAGAACAGGTATATCATGGTCAATGCATACAGATTGTGCAATATATATACTAAATTCCGGTTCAGTAAAAAGTATATGTTTGCACATCGATTAGACCACCTTGTATAAAGGATCTAGGGGGGAGGGGGGCACCTTGTCAGGACTAATTTCTAATTTCGAAGAATAAGACACCTAGGTTGCAACCACGGAGGATTGGACCTAGTGGGCTGGCTGCATACCTCGTAACTCTACGGACGGATCTATTGGTTCTGAGAGTATATTAGTTTTAGTATGACAAATAACCTTCAGAAGTGCCAAGTTGTACGAAAAATTGTAAAAACTTCAGTTGATGATGGGAAAACTATGGGTATAATAATGTAGAGAGCAACATGTATTGTGAAATTGTGCAGTACTAATCATATGGAACTACCTCAAAAATTCCAAATAGCATGTATGTGCAAATTCAGTAATATTTAACTGCCCTGCCCAAATACCCCGTGTTTCTTCGGACCAGAATGCAGTTTTTTGAAGATTAACGCCCATGATATAAGCTGAAGCTTTTGGATCAATACACATCAAGACCCACTGCAGCGAGATTTGTGTATACCTTGGACGTACGACATATGCATATGATATGAAAACGAATACAAAGAAAATCGATTAGCCCCAAGTGAAGAGGAAAGTGGCCAGGGAAGAGAGGGTAACTAAAGACACTACACACACCAGTAGGTATAGCGCCACGGAAATTATTAAAAGAAGAAACAAAGATTGGAGATCGACGAACTATGAACACGCAAAGTAGCTGGATTGATCAATCAGTAGCTTGATATGCATACACACTCACCTCAGACGATCAGCTACGCGCTCTAGATCACAGAGATCGATCAGACCTCGATCTCTTCTCCTAGCTAGCTTGGGTCGATGTACTATATTTTCTTGATCATCGGCGAGAGCAGGCTAGCTATAGCTTGTGTATGTAGGGAAGAAGAAGAAGAATGAGCAGGTTGATCAGATCGAGGTGCGGTGAGGGAGAGGCGAGGAGGGCTCTCGCAGGTATATACAGGCAGGATGAGAGAATGGAGAAAGGAGGGGGAGAAGGTGGCGAGTATAAAAAAGGGAGGTCGGGCATTCCTTTCCGTCGCGCGTGGGCGAGGGGAATGAGCGCCTGTGGGACCCACTTGGGCCCACTGCTGACGTCACGGACCCTTCTTTGCTACTCGATCTCATTCTCCCGGCACTGTGTACTGTAGAGTGCAGTACAAAAGGAACAGAATGAGCTTAGCCGTAGCTTTGTCTCTTTGTCTTCGAGCCCTTGGCATGATAGATCCACTGTACCTTACCTATAGCTCGTTGGGAACCATGGACTCTGGTGATGGGCTAATGGCCAGCAGTTGTCCACGTCCACTTTTGAAATGGACCTAGCTCTATCTCTAGAAAAAACTATATATACATATTGTATTTGTTTGATAGTTTTTGTAAACTCTTTGATACAGTTTCCA